GCTAGTATTTGTAGTGCTGGGTCCTTTTCTGTGTTCCTCGGTGTTAACGGACAAGGTACATTTCTTTAAAAAGGAGCCTATGACCGAATATTCTGAGTTGGGAGGGACCCACAAGGATTATCGAATCCAGCCTCTGGCCCTGCACAGCCACCCCGACAATCCCATCCCGTGCATCCCTGAGAGCGCTGTCCAAAGGCTCCCGGAGCTCTGGCAGCCTTGGGGCCATGACCGTTCCCTGGGGAGCCTGGGCAGGGCCTGACACCCTCTGGGGGAAGAACCTTTCCCTGTTACCAGTCTGACACTCCCCTGACCCAGCTCCAGCCGTTCCCTCGGGTCCTGTCCCTGGTCCCAGAGAGCAGAGCTCAGTGCCTGCCCCTCCACCTCCCCTCAGGAGAAGCTGTGACTGCGCTGTCTGCCCTCAGTCTCCTCCAGCTGGACAGACCGAGTGCCCTCACACGGCTTCCCCTCAAGGCCCTTCACCATCCTCGTGCTCTCCTTTGGACGCTCTCTAATAGTTTAATGTCTCTCTGATATTGTGGCACCCAAAACTTCACACAATATTTGAGGTGAGGCTGCTCCAGCCTAGAGCAAAGCAGGACAATCCTCTCCCTGGCCCAGCTAGGGATGCTCAGTATTTGTGCTGAAATCAGCTCCAAGTGGGAAAAGGTAATATTGGTAGGGGGGATCTCCAACCACTGATCACAGGCCACCAACCCAAGAAACTTCTTGACCCAAAAGAAGAGAAAAACTTAACATGTGGACTAATTAACATGAAAAGCAAGTGAACCATTTATCAGAAGAAGATAGAATACTAATTTATTAGAGAACTACATAACCAATAACCAATGAATACTAATTCCTTTGTTTTCCAAAATGTATAAATAGTCAAAAGTTTTGATAACTGATTAACATGTTTGGTGAGGCAATACCCAAGCACCTCTGTGCTGAATAAAGTAATAACAGCTTTCTAACCTAACAAACTGGGTGAGAAAGCTCATTTCCCAGTTTGTGGTGAGGAGAGGGTCTAGCAGAGGCCACAAGGATGATGTGGGTCTGGAGCATCTCTCCTATAAGATGCGTGCCATGGGAGGAGTGGGAGCTTCAGATAAGCTCTGCAATAGCTCAGATTTTGGGAACTGTTTCAATATAAGGACTCACCCTGGCCTACAAGTCCTAGTCATGGCAGATCAGGTCTGTTTAAAAAAATGAATTATTTATTCAACTGACAAGTGATAAACAGACAAAATATCTTAATCAGAATTACTTACTAAACTGTATAAAATTAAAACAACGTGGGGTAGATTACAGTGTGACATAAAACAGTGCATGATATCAAGGTACCTCTATTAAATGTAGCAAAAGAAATAGTATTAGGAGTGATATGTAACTTCCCACTGACAGGTCAGTAACATTCACAGATTCCTTCACTCAGCCTCCAGGAGAGTATCATCAAAACAGTGTTCCTATTCAGGGGAGAAATTTCTCACATTTCCAGGGAAACGTGTAGAAGATTTCTGCTTTGTGGAAGTTTGGTGTGGCTTTTATAGTTGTAAAGTGAGGTGTCTGTCAGTCAGAAATCCAGTTTATAATTCCAGATTTCACTTGGACAGTGAGATATTTATTGGCAGCTGGGAGATACCAGACCCATGTTAACTCCATGGCCCCAAAATGACCCACTACAAGACAGTTTATCCTGTCTGAGTTGTCTGACCAGTTAACAAATAACAAATAAGTTCTTGTGAGGAGTGAGATGCCCCGCTACAAAGAGACTGCAGAGGACTGGGCCTGTTTAGTTTGGAGAAGAGACAACTGATAGAGGATCTCTTTAATGCAGATAAATATCTTAAAGTGGGTGCCAAGAGGAGGAACCAGACTCTTTTGAGTTGTGCCCAATGACAGGACAAGGAGCAACACCCATAAACAAAAATATGAGAAGTTTTATTTCAACAAGAAGAAGAATTTCTTCCCATTAAGGATGGCAGAGCACTGGAACAGCTGCTCGGGGAGGTTGTGAAGTCTTCCCTCCTGGAGAAACTCCAAAGCCACCTGGAATGTGGATTGCTCTGCCTTGGCAGGGGGGCAGGACTAGATGATCTCTAGAGGTCCCTTCCAATCCCCAAATGCACCGCAACAGTGCCTGAGTTTTTCACAATGTGCAGCACTGGCTCCGAAGCAGAGAGATGCTCTACAGAAAACAACTTTAGTGACCTAGCACTATGTCTAAGAGCTAATGGTGTCCCACCATTCTCTCTCTCTCTCAGCTTCCCTTTCTTCCCATTGCAGTGGTAAGGGAACACAACAGCTTCTGAGCAAGGCTGGCTCTCTCCTGGCTCAGTGGATGTGGTTTCTGCATAGCTTTTGATGGACCTTGGCTTCCCTGCACCTCAGCAGCCTGACCGATTTGCTTCTGGTCTCCCCAGGGAGACTGAGTGCCTGCCCCACCAGAAAGAGCAGAAATTTGCCATGGTGACCGGAGTGGGGCAGTCATGTATCTCATCTGCCCTGCTTATATTATAGATTACATCAGCTCTTCTCATTTTCCCATGGTCGTTTATGCCTGTCTGACCACAGCAGTCTCTGTGCATATTCTCACATTCGCCATCTCAACAATTCAGGTGAAAAACCAGTTTCCTCAGCTGTTCTGACCACTTCAGCCAGACCTTTAGCTTCCTTCTGCTTGGCTTCTTCCATTGCCTCTGTGTAAGCAAAGTCAGGTGGCAGCTGCAACTTTGTCTAATACATAGCAGGGGTAATACCTGTGCTTGCTTTTAGTATTCATTCCCCTGTTCATTCACTGTGTGATGCAGTTAGTAGGTAACACCTTAATGTTCAGATTCTCTTGGGATTTTTTCTTTTAACAGTGAAAATAATGTCACCAGTTTACCAAAAAAGGGCTAGAAAGGTTCATTTTCTTAAACAATGCAGCTGAAAAATTTAGAAGAAACAGTCCCAACAAGACTGTGAGAATCACAAACATTATTAATTGCCCCAAGGTGGCTATGTGATGCAAAATGAGATGGTGGGCTCAGTCACTTACAACACTCATGTCCAAATAAAAGCCAACACCCAGCAGTACTGACAAAGGGAACTGACTGGGCATGAAAAGCAAGACAGCCTCCCATGCCTTGGCATCTAACCATTACAATACATACACTAACCTTCCCTTTGGGATCTCTTCAAGTAATGCACATCTTTGAAAAGAAAATTATCTCTTTCTGGAAAAAGAAGGAATCTATCTTATAATAATTTTACTCTTTGTATTCCTTTGGTCTGCTTTTACTCTGAACACTACCCCAAACAGTACCCCAAAATAGTAAGAAAAGCCAGGGAATCTCAGAAAAACGGAAAGGTGGACAAGACAAACGCAGATCTGAACCAATGTTAATCAAACGTTCTCCGTTTATTCAATATAAGGTGGTAGTTTATATAAGCTTCTACATAGTTTACAAAAACAAAGACACTCTGATTGGTAGGCTAACATTGTTTACCTTTTCCTTAAAACGGCCTACACCTTACACTATAAAACCTATACTAATTCACACCCAGACAGCCCAGTGGTCCCCGTCACACCTTAAGACTATTTCTATCTGCGCCACAAGCTCTGAATTTCTAACTGCGTCAGAGGCTTGAAGGCCCACAAGGCCCAAATCTGAGGCCTAGACTGGAGTAGCTCAAGTCTCATAACTCATGTCCTCTTTCTCTCAAAAATGCTGCAACAAGTAAGGAAAAAGAAAAAAAAAAAAAAAAGAAAAAAAAAAAAAGAGGAAATTAAAGATTTCCAAGCAAAAACATTACTTAAACAAGCAGTTGTACTGAAACAGCTGACAGAAGAATGGCCAAGACACCAGTTGTGGTCCCAGTAGATAGGCTTTTTTTGTTCTTTTTTTTTTCCCCATTCCACAAACGTCTTGTGCTTGGTTATGATTTGAACAGGATTACTCAGATAGCAAGGAGTCTTTTACATACACATGTAAATATGTCCATGTCCATTTAGTCCGGGATATGCATATTAATTGCTTTCATTACAGCTCCCAAAAGCAGATCTCAGGTGGAGGAGAAGTCTGACTGTGGGTAAAACCATATCAACCTGACCACCAAGAGCTTCTCTAGGTGGTTTTGCCTTTGTGTCTGATGCTCAGGAAGGACCCTTAGTGCCGGCGAGTGGCTGTAGGAGTGGGAATACCCTTGCAGCTCTGCTGGGCAGGCAGAAAGAGGAGAGTGGGAGTCAGGTAGGAGAAGGACAGGCAAGAGGAGAAGGGCAGGCAAAAGGAAGAGAGCAGGAAAGGGAAAGTAAGGGAGAAGGAGGGCAGGAGAAAAGGCAAGAATGGGACAGGAGAATGGCGGGCAGTGAGAAGGAACCAAGAGAGGAGGAGGGGAGGCTGGAAGGCAGGAGGAAGGTAGGTAGTTAGTTAGGTAGGTAGGTAGGTAGGTATGTTAGCATTCCGGAACACACATAATCACAGGATATGATTATATGCAGGTGCTTTTATTAAGAGCTCTGGGAGTCAGGGGTACAAACCCAAATCTGACTCTGACATGGCTTTTGAGCTGAACATATTTTATATTCTATTGTTATATAACTTACATATTAATTATTAAACTTATATTGTTCTATTGTATACATTGACATGAGTTTCTCGTGATCTTTCTTAGGTCCCTGACCACAGTTTCTCATGATTATTCTTATGGTTAAACAGTAATTATATTTAATTACTAAACAATCATCACATCTAACAATTATATCATTTATCATGTACTAGCTACGCAGGTGCAGTTCTAGCAAGTACAAGTTCTTCATGTGCTTAGGGTATTTATTTTTCCAGGGCCTACTAAGCTTATTTTTCCTGTTAACCCTAAATCCCCATGATTTTAAAACCCTTTTACTATCAGGTAGGTAGGAGGTAGGTAGGTAGGTAAGCAAGAATTCCAGGAGGAGGAGGAGGGCAGGCAGGCAGGAGGAGGGCAGCAGGCGTCCCGGGTCCGCCTCCCACGGCCCCTCCCCGGACGTGCCGGGACAGCCGCTGTTTCCCCGAGCCGCCGTCCCGAGTCCGGCCGGGCTCCGCCTCTGCCTTCCCGACCGCGCTGCGGGCGGAGGTAGCCCGGAGGTGCCCTCGGAACGCGTGCCCACCCCGGGAGCAGCGGGGACCCCTCGGCGCGGCTCCTTCTGCTGCCGCTGGCCGCGAATCCCGGCCGCGCCGGAGGAGCCCCGCGGGGACTGGTCCGGGTCACCATGTCCCTCGGGGACAGCCGCTGGCCGGTTCGCCTGCTGGTGGTCACCTGCGTGATGGCCAGGACGGCGCTGAGCCAGGAGTGCTCCGCGGAGAAGATGGAGAATACCATAATCGATATAGACTTGTCCCTGCCCCGCGGCGCCCGGGGCGCGGAGCCGCTGCGCGTCCCCAGCGCAAGTGCGTGTGTCCGCGCCTGCTGCTCGGGGCACCGGCTCGCAGGTAACGTCGGCCTCCTTCTCCGAATTTACCCTCTCATTCAGGCTGCGCTTAGTTCCAGCTTGCGGCTGCTACCTTCTTTTGCCAGTAGATGTTAGATCTTAACTCAAGACCCTGTAGTGTTCAGGAAAATAGTTGCATCACAGAAACAGAGTTAGTTTTAGGCGTTAAAACCTTCCAAATCCCGAACCTCGAAGGTGTGTAAGCTGTGTTTAGTAGATGCACTAAAAGTAGCTGGCATTTTGCATTGTATTTAATTTTAGCCAAAAAATGAGAACGCTCACCCTCCTCTGAGACGGCTCGTTTGAATCAAGCTCTTGGCGCAGTAGGAGGAGTAGAGCAGCAAGTAGAAATGACAGTGAAGGTGACCCCCCAAAGCAGCAACTAACCAAGTGATTCCTGAGATGTAGTAAGGAAAAATGTCTAAATAATTTTCTTCCCCTTGAGTATATTGAGGAGGTTTTCAGATTCATCAGGATTTGTAAGCGAGCAATTGTATAAAGTCGTGCCGGTGTGGTATGCGTGAGGGGAGGATGAGAGATTAGACTCATAATTTCCCCAACTATATTTGTATAGGAAAAGGAAGGTGTGACCTTTCATATTTTGGCCCTGGGCCATTCTTCTGCAGTCCCTGGCAGTTTTTTCCTGTAGGAATGTTATGCTAGTAGTTTTCCTCTTACTCACATGAGCAAAAGTTAACAAACTAGATCTCATTACCATACTGCTATAAAAGTTCCTACTGCTGAAACAGGCATTTACTTTGTTTTGCAGGAGACAAGAAGTGTAATTTGATTATTTTTTATGCTGCAAGAGCAAGTACACATCCAAACTGCTACTTGTTTTACTGTCCTAGCACTGAGGCTTGTCCAATGAAAGCTGCAACAGGACTTGTGAGCTACAAGATAACTACAGGTAAATAATAGTGAGAGCCATCAGCCCCCACACCACACTGCAAAGTGACTTTTGCACTTGTAAAGTTTCAGTAGTGATCAGGAACTGTTTGGAGGTCATATTTTTAGTAAAGTGTTCTCAGCCAAGCATTATGATTTAAAAATATTTCTCTTTTTCGTTATGGAGGATGGATGGGCAGGTGTATGGTAAGCTCCTTTGTGGGCCCAGCTTCCAGCTTAGAATAATGTCCCAACCCTTATAATATTCCTTCACATTAGATTCAGAAATCCTCATAATTTGTTCTTGCTTAAAACAAAAAGAAGCTGCTTCCATCTAGATATAGTCAAGAAAGAAAATTTCCTGTACATAATACTGAAAAGTATCACAAAAACCAATGGAAATACCATGCCATTGTAGCCAGCTGTGTATTTAAAGGACCCCTGCTACACTGATGAATAATTGGCAATAATAATAAATAATCATTATTTTCTGCTTTCAGTTAGAGAACCTGAAGTGCAGAAGCAAACTTTCTAAACTCAGAGCTTTATGGCATGTGGGCTGCACAGTCAGAAATTTCTTGCTCTCTGACCTATACTGGTTTATTTATAACAGCAAAGCCTACTTGTTGATTGACATTGACTTGCACCAGACCTGTTTGAGCAGCTCAGATAATTAGACTGTCCTGCCAAGGTGCTTTCTATATGGCTGCTTGAGATCGAACTTTGGCTGAAAAAGAGAACTTTTCCAAGAGGAACTATGCAAAGAGCAACAACAGTATGATATATAGAAAAATTACTCACGTAATGTTACCAAGTATTTTTGTGCAAGCACAATCTCACAGTACTCATGCAAAAGCAATGTGCAACAAATGAACTGCATTCTGTAAAATTATTACTAAAATTACAAAGTCCTCCAGCTCTTTCTGCCCTAGAAGATCATTGGGGTTTCAAACAAAGAAACAAGAAATGCAATCATGCTTGTGCTTTTTTTTGGCATGTAATGCAATGCTGAGTGAACAACTTGATTGCATGTAACACTTCTTTTTCTTTTTGGAGACTTGATTTTCTCTGAACATTTAATTGTGGGAAGATTATGCTAGCTTGTTTAATGTTCTTGGCAAGTTTTCAAAGGTAGCACCTGAGCAGTGTCTGTAGCAACAAATGTTTCAAACTTTGTTCTTTCATGTAAGAATCTGTATGTGGTTACACTGAAAACCAAGCTGAAAGGGGGAAAGATGCTTTATGTATTCCAAGTCCAGTGCATTTAACAAACTCATTTGTTTCAATATTAAAAAGAGATGAGTGAGTATCAAATCTACTTGAGAGCATGCTCCCTTTTAAATGTTTTGTGCAGCAGCTGAATTGTTATCATGAATATATTATATATATTTCTATATTTTTATAAATAAAATTATAAAATTATATATATAATATGAATTGACAATTAGCCTGTCTTTCCAAGAGCTCATGCTCAGCCAAATACTTTCTATACTACCTGTAAATCAGGTAAATATTGTAGAAAAAATACTGCAAAATCAGATAGCTTTTAGGATTATTATTTGCATGCTATTTCTGCACAGAACACTAGTTTTATGACTAGGCTTGAGGCTGACAGCATTTATGACATAGAATTTAAATGTCACTGTGCATATGTTAAAGAAAGGAAGTTTCATCAGTCATTATCTCTTAGAGTCCCCTTACATAAATGTTCCTAAGAAATATAAATAGAGTATGCCTACATTAGTCAAAAATAGATTGAATAATTAAATACCAGTATTTCTGTTTCCAGACATTCATGCCCTAGAGGATAAATCCATCAAAACTGAGAACTTTTCTTCAAATGAGTATTCTTTGCCTTCGGATGCTGGAATCTTTATTTCTCAGAGTCAGAATATCCATCAGAATCACACTGCCAGTTTGGAGCAGTCTGTCTTTCATCAGGCATCTGAACTCCTGAACCACATAGGCAAGCATTTGAACAATATGGAACTTCATACAGTTTCTCCTGAATCTCAAAGAGCAGAAGAATCTGAGAGCTTAGACCCCATCTCAAGGCAGCAGGTAATTAAGCTGCCACCAAGCACACCTTCTGCTGTTCCAGCTGGAAACCCCAGTGCTTCTTTCCACACCACTGCTCGGGCAGGTGCCCCTGAAACCAGTAGCGCTTCTCTTGCTCTTGTGCTGACAGGCACTGCCCAGCTGGAGTCTCTTACAATCTCTCTGCACCCTGGTGCTGCCAAACCAACCACACCCCACCTCACCACAACTGCCTCTCCATGTGCTGCAGCCACTGCAGCTAAACCTGCTGTCCCTGCCACCCGCATCACTGTTATTCATGTTCCGATTTCCAAGCCCACAAATTCTGCTTCTCCTTCTACAACCACGCAGGTGACCACGAATTCTGGATCTGCTACTGCCCTTTCAGGGCTAAGGACTCCAGCCATGGCTCCTGAGCCAACAGTTGTCTCTTCCAATGATACCAGCCTTGTGACCCTCCTCTCTTTTCCAGGTTTTATTTTGTGCAGCTATTCCCCCACATCTTCCCAAAATTACCCTTGGGGTTATGACCCATCTGACTCAGAAAGCTCCCTGTCAGAAGGTGTTCTGATAGGGAAAGGTGCCTTTCAGCTGGGGGGAAAAAGCAGCCTTGTAGCAGCTTTGTTTTTCGGGGTGATATTCTTGTTGCTAGTTATTGTGCTGACAGGGAAGAAAATCCATGAATCTCTTCAGAAAAGGCATTACACCAGGCTGGATTATTTGATCAATGGAATGTATGCTGATGTCTGACTGGGAGAGGGAATAAAATTTTGAGGAGCATCTCTCACTTTTGAGAGGAAAACTCTGATATAGAACAGTTGATATTGAAATCTCAGAAGAGGATGGGTTCCTTTTTTGGGCTCTGATGGGAAAGCAGGAGACAGGAGATGGGTTTGGTGGTGAGAAGAAATGCTTTGTTTGTGCTGAACTATAATGTCTATAATTTTTGATTTATTCCTAAATCCTGAGAGTAAACATCTAAATCCAAGTTAAGCTAAGAAGGTCTTATATTTAAGGAGAAAAAGATTTCACAAGCTTAATGTGTACTGTGACAAGATTAGTGAAATTGAGGTACACCTAATAAATTGAGTACCTGTGCAGCACATGGGTGTTTTCAGTGCTATTTACACCAAATACTGGAGTGTTACACAATTGCCTGGCAATCCTATTTACCCTATTTGTAGCTTTAAAGGAATACTTAGTAATAGAGCTTTGCATCCAAATGGTTTTAGGTACAAACAGAAAATATGGCATAATTTAATTTTCCTTATCTAAATATAGTTTATGGTTATATACATATCTTTAAAGTTCTTCTTCTGCATACATCACAGGTATCCTTAAAACTACATACTGCAAGTGCTCTCAAAGCATACCCTCTTCACTTCTAGCGTCCCCTTCATGTGGCTGGTAATAAGCATGGCTGCTTAGTAACAGTTATCTTGATATTCAACTTTTTTTCCAACCTAAACAACTCTATGATTTTATGTTTTCCTGACTCTTCGACAGAGAGAGTAAGTGGGAGCATCTACTGCCACACAACTTCCAGTTCATGTTATTTAAATTTCCCTTCACATGCAGTCAGTCTAAAACTGGTTTTAGAATGAAAGGCTAGATTTCAAAGTGTTCATATCAGGTGGCATGATCAAAACCAAATGTCACAGCAGAGAAGGAAGGGTGCCTCACAAATGCAAGGAAACAATTCTATTGCAAAATATGAAATTTGACTCACAACCAAGAGATTCTTACATCTGTTAAGCTTAGTGTGGTGAGAAATAGGTGTGATCCAAAAAATGGCCTCAAGGCAAGTTTTCTGAAACCTCTAAATAACTAAATGCAGAAAATTCTCTGAAAATTCCATTATTCAGAGATCAAAGAAAAGTCAGTGTTCCTTGTGTCAAGAACTTGAATTCATATTATATGGAGGTTGCAAATTGTTTTTTATATATAAAACCAACTGGTCTGCTACATTGTTTAAGTCTGACAATGGTTAAAAAAAAAGTAGTCTGGATAGCCTCTTAAAAGTGAACAAAATTACAGAAGAAATGTACCTCAAATTTATCAGCTTGTTTTCTGACTGTGCTTTGTTTAACTTAATTTTCTTTTTTATTTTAATAGCTATTTTCAGAGGTTTCTGGTCAAGGAACATAACAAGGAAGAACATTTTTGGGAAATGAGTTCACAGAATGATAAGTACTAGTCCTAGCTGTAAAAACGCAGATGCAGATCTGAGGTTCACCATAATTTTCTCTCATAAGAACTGCAATCTTCCTGAGAAGATTTTTATGTTGCTGGTGTCATCACAGCAGGAGAGGTGCGGAGAACAACCCCTGAATGCTCACTATGCATTTCTGCTGCAGTAAATAATTTGTTGGAGGGACAGGTGATTGGTATTAATTTATATGGTTACAGTACAGTAGCAAAATATTCAAGAGAAACCAGCTGATGTATCTCAGGGTTGTTCACAGCACAGGTCATGTGTTCATCTGGAGAGGGACATTTTACAAGGACATGTAGTGATAGGACAAGGGAGAATAGCTTTAAACTAAAAGAGAGAAGGTTTAGATCAGATACTGAGACAAAATTCTTCCCTATGAGGGTGCTGAGGCCCTGGCACAGGGTGCCCAGCGAAGCTGTGGTTGCCCCATCCCTGTGAGTGCCGAAGTCCAGGTTGGACAGGGCTTGGAGCAACCTGGGATAGTGGAAAGTGTCCCTGCCCATGGCCAAGGGTTGAAATGAGCTGATCCTTAAGATCCCTTCCAACCCAAAGCAGTCTCTAGTTACTCAGTGTGGTCCATGTCATTAGAAACTGCCCTCCAGCCCAATCAGCTGTGCACACCCAACACGGTGAATGGCAGAGGTAAAGCTGAGAGGTGCTCGAGCACCATGCCTGACTTGGTGAGGATGCTGACCTCAGTGGCCTTTCACAACATTTGAGTAAAACAAACAACTTTAGAAGTTGTTACATGAAAGATCTTCCTTTATGCTCCAGTAAAGAAAACAAGGTATTAGGCAGGTGTACTGAAACACTTTTTAAAAATTATTTTCCCCATCCATTTGTCATGTTGGATTAAGAACTAACAGGGAATTAATTGATAGCTGACTAGTTTGGATCTTTCTGGGGGGTCCTTTACAAGCTGTGTATGGACACTAGAGGGCAACAACAGTTTATTAAATAGAATTGACAAGTTATGAAGATTTTTGATGATTTAAAAAAGTTTTAGTTAGCTTGTTTTTTTAACTTCCCAAACTATGGCTCTTTCATTGTGGAAAGGTTTTTGTTTATTGAAAGGGTTTGGGTGGAGGATTATATACACACATTTTTAAAAGTTTTTACTGCATCATATAATGTAGAAGACATCAAAATGAAGCATATTCTCTATTTTAATAACACTGAATCAAGTTGCATTATTAGTCATGTATTGGCATTTCCAGTTAACAGAGAGATTTCCCATCATCATTCTTTTGACTATGATGCTTTATTACATGCATTTTTGGAGCTTATTTATTTACCTGGATAATGCTCTTGTATTATGAATCAAAAAGGAGGAAGACAAAGTAACTAAAAAAGCCCATCCAGTTTGTTATGCTTTCCAACATTAAAACTTCTGTGCACTCTGCTGTTTTTCCACTGAGATCTCCTGTAGTCTTCACTGTGCACCACACATGGAACTGGATCATTAATCACCACTCTGTGATGACAAGTCTTACATTGGAGTGGCTCTTTCTGGACGTAATCAGTTTTGTTATGGCAGTAGGCAAAAAGCTGATTGACTTTTGTCACCTGGAGAGTGTCATAAATTCTGTAGCTGATTGTTTTCATATTGTTGCTTTATACCGCTGAGCAAACATAAGGTATGTAAATATAGACTGTCATGAACAAAATTGTCTTGTGGTATTGTACAGTAAAGCAAATAACCCGAATTTTATAACTACTGCAAACAATCGTAAAGAAATAAATTGTAGACCTATTTGAGATGGATGAGAAGGATCCAAAGTCCCTGCTTCAAAAAGCAGTAAATTCAGCATGGTGTGTTCTCTGCAAATAGTGCTTAAATTCATTTCAATTCCTGTAGGAGCAGGAAATGCTTAGACTCAGGATTATTTCAAGTTACTAAACAACTAATAAAACCTAACAAACAAGGAAATAAAACTACAAAAAAAAAAAAATTACATGAGAAGGCAGTTTCAAAACTGGTTCTTGTTTTCCTGCCTCCTGCAAAACCATCTTAGTGGATTTGAATCTGATTACATGCTTTGACCCTACCATCCCACATTCCATGCTGATAAAATCGTGGAGTTTAAAAGGCCAGTACTGCAGTCAGCAGTTCCCAGGCAGTATCCCATTATACAGAGAGCTATACTTCCGTAGATTTCTTTCTGTCACCCTCCTGAAATGGCCCTAGACAGCTGTGCTCTCCCTGTGCATTACTAATCCTCTCATACAGATAATGCACTTCTCTACACTAATTCTCAATGAATTCCTGTTTATGGGTAGTTGTGGGATAGCTGCATCCCCTCATCCTTGAAGTCTTGCACATCCCTTCAGGAGTGTGCATGCTATTCCCAGATGCTTTCCCAGTGTCTTGATAGGTATGTCCCCTGAAGGGCTAGGGTATATTGAACTTTTTTCTTCTTCTTCAGAAAGCCTACATTTAATCTCACAGTCTAAATTTGCTTTTTTGCCTTTAGGTCTCTACACTTCTTGAGGATGTCAAAGCACAAAGCATAAAAATGCTGCTCTTTGTCACCTGTGTGTTTGGTATTATAAATAATGTGTAAAAGTATTTTTAAGTTTCAGTACAACTATACTGTATCACTGTTTCCTGTATATTGGCTTACTTAATTTAAAAAAAAAAAGGCATGAGAGTCATGCATTACTTATTTTCTCTTTTTCTCTTACTCCTCTCCTTCCAACCTATAAAATGTCATTTTTGTAAGTGACAAGAGTTTAAATATGCTGTGTTCAAGCTGTTCTGATCCTTTTTCTTTGTGGTTCACTTTGTTTTAATAGAAAATCGATGAAGAATATTGAAAATTCCATCATACCAATACTGTCCAGGAGTAGTAATCAGATAATTTGTGCATGCTGTATTTCCTCAAAGAAACTTAAGAAGCAGTTAAAATCCAGCACAACTGGCTAAACCATAAGGAATATTTTGAAACATTTGCTGACTTGAACAGTCACTCTGAAAACCAAGAAGGTGTTTCATCACAATGCTATGATGGTAAGGATGGTTATATGAGGTACAATAACTCCTTATAAGATGTCTTGGTACCAGCTACCTCAGAGTAGCAGCTGAATTATGGCTGAAAGTTACTGGGAACATCCCCATGGTTTCTGTGTGCTTCCACTTGCACAGAAGCAAAATGTGATCAGTGTAGCTTAGACTTTGACACTGTGACTTTTGCAAGAATTCTCAACAACACCTAGATAGAAAATTGGCACAAAGTTTAAACATACATTCTCGTGCTGCAAAGATGGTGGAAACCCCCTCACTATGACATGGATCTCCTATCAGTTTGCTCACTGTTTAATTAGTTTCTGAGTAAATTTCTCTGTTTGTTGGAACTCAAAATGTCCTTCAGACATCTTTGGAGGTTCCAGGCCCTGGTCAGAGGCATTTGAGACCCTGGCAGGCAGCTGGAAACAGCTGTGATTTTGAGTTTGAACCATGGAATGAGTTAGCAACTTTGAAGGTGGAACAAGCAGTCACAAAAGTTTAGGTATTATAGTAGAAGTAGTTACAAAGTAGAGAGGAGAATTTTTTAGTATTGTACAGGGGGGTTTTAACACCTATACAGGGGGGGTTTTACTTTGTACATGGGGGTCAGAAGTTTTAAGATGGAGGAATGTAGGCCAGTCCTGTTCCTCCTCTTTCTTCTTCCTTACCTCCATGTTCTTGATGATGTTGGCACTCACAGATTGGTTTAGAGTAGAAAAGCACCATTTAATATAGGTAATAGGTATTGGGGAGAAACTGTAAACATTTATCACGTAATGTACCATATAAAAGACAGCAGCAGCCCTGGGCTGGGGAAGAGAAGAAGACACCAGTCAGAGAGGGTGTCAGGGGTGTGTGTGCCTCTGCCTGAGCTGCTGATCAAACTGCAGTAGCCAGAGAAGACAATCTTTCAGATAGTCTTAGGCAATAAACTGCCTTGAGACCAAACAACAAGAGGCTGCAGAGTTTTTCTTTGGAAGCATGGGTTGGAGGAGAGACTTTACCACCACACGGAACCCCTGAACCAGACCAGGGTTACGACATCTGTTTGCTTTCATGTAAGAGCTTTTTTTTACTGAAACCCAACTTCCACCAACACTACTGAAATAGTTGTAAGTATTTGGATCCTTACAAGCAAGGTTTTTTTTGATTCTCCAAGTAAGGATGCAGGTTAGTTTGGGTCCTCTGAGTAAACTGATTGATATGATCCCTTTACTACAGTGGACATGTGTTATGTGTCTTTGTCAGTACAGCTCCTGTTGGTGTCAGTTGGAAGGTCTTCCAGCACATATTTATAAGTCAAGTCCTCCCACTTAGAGGCTCATTAACTGTTCAAAACAATTGCCATACAGGATAACAGAACATCTCAGCCCAGAGGCAAAATTTCTGAAAGAATCTGTAGAACATTTTCCCGGCTGCTTCTGATTATTTAACTAGGATAATGTTGTCCTTTTTTGGTTCTGGGGCATGAAATAAGGAGCTCAAATGTTTTTCCACCATGTGATAACTCAGGCAGTACTTCTGGAAAGACTCCAGATTTGGCACACACTGTATGTTGCCTTTATGGAGTGCTCTGGTTTAGAAAGGGCAAAAAATAATTTGCTTGTGAGATACAGTTTTAAACCCATGAGAATAGCTCACTCCATTCTTCTCACTGCTCAACAAGATACACATGGCTTTCCTATACTGGCAAAGCATAAAGGAAGGGTACACCCCATTCAAGTGAACATTATAAAAGATGGTAGAGTTTGAAAAGTGAAAGCCTGAATGCTGAAGTTTATCCACATGCTACATCTAGCAGAGTTGCTACATCTGGCAACTTTTCCAGAAATATGCCAGACACTCCATCTCAAGGAGGAATTCAAGTGTTGTATCTGTCCGTGGAATACAAATAAACGTCTTTACACCTACTTTTTTTTTTTTTTTTTTTTTTTTTTGGTGATATGGTTTAGGGTTTTTTTTTGTTTGGGTTTTGGGTTTTTTTTTTCTTTATGGTTGGCATTCCCTCTGCTCAAGCCTCTCTTCTCTTACTTTTTCTTTGCTTTTCATTTTCCTGCAGGAAGCCTGCAAACCTTTCCACCCAACAATGGGCTTATACAGCTAAAGCCAGCATCAGCTGGAATCAGCTCTTGGTTTAGCCAAAGCTGACTCATTTTGCCCTCTTTTCTTGGAAAGGCTTTTTAGTTCTCCCATATAATGCCAAGGAGTCTGCTGTAGTCTCTGGGGTGCACAGGGTAAAAGCAACGGGTGCCTGAACCAGAAATGTCAGATGCAGAAATTCGATAAGGCCAAGTGTCTGCAAATATTTTTTTCTCCTATTTTTAAATGGTTTTGGTCTGTGGTTCCCATTGTTTTGGGTTTTTAACTATGGTGACTGGAACACCTTTTCCTACACTGAATTACTTACTGCTACAGTGTACCTTCGGCCACACATATACTAGATGTTTCTTTCTGTTGAAGTACTAGGATTCTTAAACCACAAGTGAAGATAGGACTCTAAATCATAGTTCCTTTCAACATTTAGAGCTTTGGTTATCTTGAAAGAAAAAAGTGTTTTGGGAAAATAGCACTTTAAAAGTATTGTTCAAAGAAAGGATTTCTTAATATGCTGAGATTAAACGGGGATTTTGCTCTGTGTAAACCCTTTTCAAATTGTTGTAAAGGTATTAGACTTTTTACAACTGAAATAAGGAAAAAAAAATAGTAGAAGTTGCATTAACTGCAAAGTTCTGACACTGAAAAAGGCATTGGAAGGAGCTTCACAAGTCAAGGCCATTCAGACACAATTCCCTGTCTTTTATGCAAAGATCCATGTGACCAAATACTGTCTTTGTGGTTTTGACTGGGGAGAGGGTAGAAAAAGGAGGGATGAGGAATGGATTGGGCAACCTCACTCTAATCACTTTTCTTCTTGAGAGGAGAAAATATAATCTAATTATTCCAAAATAGAATATTATCATCTTTCAATAATGTCTTAATAGCAGACACTAATTTTTTAATAAATATATTTGGGGACTAGGTCTTACTTTCTCTGAGTTTTCCTTTGTAATTTATCTACATTTAATTGCCCTGTCCCTTTTGAAATCAGTGAGAACTTTACCATTGCCTTCAGAGGGACCAGCATTTCAGCATGCTATGCCCATTAATTCTTGTTGAAACATTCAGTGAGAAAGATAAATATGATAGTGGCTTCTATGATGTGGGCAGCCACAAATTCATTTGCTGAGCATCCATCTTCTTCTAACATCTTTTGCTTATTAGGGACTTTGGTTCTGGTTCTACAGAAGATCCCATTGACGCCACTCAAACTTGGGGAACAGTTCAAAAGCAGAGTGACTTTGGCAGTCACTGCTTCTTTCATGAGCTCCAGCTGCTGTCCCTTGCTGTCCCAGGAGCAGACACAACTGCTTGTGAAGCTGAGCCACCAACTAAACCAGGGAACTTGCCCAAGTTTAAAAATAATCCCGTGAAAACTCTTGTGTCATTGAGCCACCATCCAAGTTCTGAGGTAAGAATAAAGCTGTCCAGGTTTCTCAGCCTCAGCTGAATTTGAGCCAGCAAATGAAGGTTTCTCTTTCTAAGGTGAATGAAAATAACTGCAACCAACACGGGGAGCTTCTTACTAAAATAAAAGAAACGTTCCCTCTCCACTTACTTTGCCTTTAAGCTCAAATAAAGGAACATAATCACCTCAGAGAAATCATGCCTATTGGAGGCTTTTTTGTATGTGGTAATATTTCCTCCTATTTTACTTTGTAAAAGCCTCTGCTATGGAGTTGATGCTACATGGATGAATTAGAAATAAAGCTGACAAACATTTAGGAGATAGACTTGGTCTTGAATCCTAAGCACTGATGGGGAAAAGGGTTCCAAAAAAGCCATTTTTGCAGGGGGTAGTGATCAATGGCTCAGAGTGCTGATGCACCTCAGTGACAAGTGGTGTCCCTCAGGACTCCATATTGGACCAGAGTTCTTTAAATATCTTCATTAATAACACAGATGAAGGGATCGAGTGCACCCTCAGCAGGTTTGCAGATGACACCAAGCTGAGGGTCCAGGGACACACCTGAAGGACAGGCCAATCCAGAGGCACCTGGACAAGCCCCAGAAGTGGCCCATGGGAAGTGGAGTCCCAGCACAAGAAAGACATCAGCCTGTTGGAATGAGTCCAGAGAAGACCAAAAAGATGATTAAAGGGAAGGAGAACCTCTGCTGTAAGGAAAGGCTGGGAGAACTGGGATTGTTCAGCCTGGAAAAGAGAAGGCTTCAGGGTGACTGTCCTGGTTCCACCCAAGAGGGTTAGTTTTTGTAGTAGCCAGGAGAGGTCATGGCGAGGACATGGAAGTTATCCTATACACCTTCTGTCAGTGCTAGGGGTGAGGGGAAGGGAGTCTCTTCTGAGAAGGGGCTCCTTCCAGTCGAGTAACTAAGTTGAATAGAGAAGTGGGGAGGCCCAGGTTCTGAAACAGAGGAAACAATTTATTGTCTGTTCTTGGAGCTCTTACAGTGAGCAAGAATATTTTTTGTACTCTCTGTCATTACTATAGTGCTGTTATAGTTCATTTTCTTATCTCATCGCTGTTTCCAGTGAATTGTTCTTATCCCAACCCATAATCTTTGCCTTTTGTGCCTCCAGTTCTCCAT